CCCTGCCTCCCTGCTTCCCCATTGGCTGACAGCCCGCCGTGAGCAATCCGCCCACCCATTGAGCCCCTTGACTGTCACTCAACGCATACCACCCCGCCCTCGCCCCGTCTGATTGGCTGACTCCGCTGCCCGTCAACAGCCGAGGCCCGCTCCGCCCTGGGGACCAGTTATCCCAGTGCGGGCGAATCGGGGGTCCCAGTTCCCTCAGTACAGGGGAAATTCGGGGTTGTGCTCCCCCAGGACAGGGGAGTTGAGGGTCCCAGTTCTCTGTACTTAAGCCATGCCTAGGACCCAGTTCCCGTTCCCCCAGTACCATGGAATCCGGGGTTCCAGTTTCCCCTAGTGCAGGGAAGTCCCAGGGTCGAGTCATCACCCCAGTACAGAGGACTTGGGGATCCCAGTTCCCCACTACAGGCAACTCCAGAGTCCCACTCCCCCAGCAGAAGCCAGACCTAGGGCCCAGTTCCCCAATACAGGGGAGACCTGTGGCCCACCCAACTCTTCACCCAGTATAGGCAATTCCAGGGCCCCAGTTCTCCCAGTGTCGAGAGAACCAGAGACCCCACCCCAGGAGGGGCCTGACCCGCCCCTTGGGCTTACCCCTCCAAGGCACCAGGACAGAGAACCCTGTGAAAAGCATTTATTCCACGTTCCAGCAGATCCCATCGGCCCCAGCCCCGTGGGCAGCGGCCGACTCAACCCAAGGCCTCATTTCTTCTCCTCATCCTTTTTGTCCTTGCTTTCCTTGGAAGCCTGTGAGGCCAAGGAGCCCATGGCATTGCGGATGGCCTCATTGTTGGGGTCCACACCTGGTAGGTTCTCCAGGACACTCTGGAGAAACTCAGGGTCCTGCATCACATCGTAGTCGTCTTCCTCCTGCGGGAAGAGGGCCAGGAGTTGGGGACAGGCAGTGTCTTTGTAATTCCTACCAGAGGGACAAGGACCATAGAATCATGGAATGGTTTGTGTTGGAAGGGAGCTTAAAGATCACCTCATTCCACCCCCTTGCTACAGGGGCACCTTAAGAAGGACCTTAAAGCTCATCCAGTTCCACCATGGGCAGGACACCTTCCACTAGCCCAGGTTGCTCCAAGCCCTGTCCAACCTGGCCTTGAACACTCCCAGGGATGGAGCAGTCACAGCTGCCAGTGTCTCAGCACCCTCACAGTGCATCTGAACCAGCACACGGAATCCTGAACAGTCTGGGTTGGAAGGAACCTTAAAGATCATCTTGTTCCACCCCATGGGCAGGATGGGATGGGATGAGATCCTCTCCCAGAACCTCACCTTAGCAGGTTCGGAGGTATCCATGGCCGTGCTGCTGTCCACCTCGGCTGCTTCTGCCTGGGCAAACTCTGGGAGAGGAGAGGAGCAGCTGAGGAACAAGGATTTACACACCCACAGCTCTTGGGAGCAACCCTTGCACCTGCCCCACAAGTGTTCAGGCAAATCCAAACCCCTTTGGGGTGTCAGGGCTGGTGGTTCCAGTCCCAGAACAGAGTTATCCCTCAGTCTTCCCATTGGGACGGGCACTCACCAGCTCCCTGCAGGGACATCTGCATGGCATAGGCGATCTGTTCCTCCTCTGTCATGGTGCTGAGGTCGGGCAGCCCAGCCCGGCCAAACTCCTGCTGGGTGATGGTCATCTTCAGCAGGGCATCGTCCGAATCTGCGCAGGAACAAGCCCAGATGTGGTGTCACAGCTGGTGTCAAGACACCATCCACATTCCCTCTCACTGGGGACGGAAGGACACCAGAGCAGAGCTGCTCCCTCAGGTGTTCAGGACAGAACCACGTCCACCTCCATTTGAGAGGTTCAGTGGAAGCAGAGGCAGCTCCTAGGATGCTGAAGATAAACGGAGTCCCTCTGACATTCTAGAGAGCCTGCACACTGCTCAGATCACTCTTGGGGAATATCGTGTCTGTCCCTGCCTGCTTTAATCATAGAATCCTGGAATGGTTTGGGCTGGAAGGGACCTTAAAATCCATCCAGTCCCACCCCCTGCCATGGGACACCTTCCACTGGACTAGGTTGCTCCAAGCCTTGTACAACATGGCCTGGAACACTTCCAGGGATGGGGCAACCACAGCTTCTCTGGGCATTCTGTGCCTTAGCACCCTCACAGGGAAGAATTTCTCTCGTGTATCTAATCCAAACCCACCCTCATTCAGCTTCAGGCCATTTCCACTCATTCCCTGTCCAGCTCCTCACCATCCCCACCGGTGGCCGCGATTCCGGCCTCAGCTGCGGAGGCAGCTGCAGCCCTCCTGGCCTCCTCCTCTTGCCGCTGCCTCTGCTCCTCCATGGACACCCGCAGAGCCTGAAGAGACCAGGACAGGCAGGGATGTGAGCAGGACAGAGCCTGGATACCCCGAGCTGAGCACCCCCAGCACCCCTATCCCTCACCAGCGCCAGCTCGGGGTCTGCACTGGGGTCCACCCCGAACTCGAAGTCGCTGGCGCCCAGGCCCAGCATGGCTCCTCCCTCCCCAGCCAGGATGGGAGAGCTGATGAGGGCGTCGGCCAGGCTCGGCCCCGGCGGCACCGTCACCAGGTGGGAGCCAGTACCATCCTTCCCATTCAGGGTGTTGATGAAGGCAGTCAGCTTGTCCGTGTTGGCTTCCTGGGGACACAGGGAAAGACTGGGAATAGGGGTTTGGCTGGCTCCGCACACCCATGTCCCGCCACGCTGGGGGAGCCAAGAGACCTGGTGTTTCATGAAATCATAGAATGTTAAGGAGTTGGAATGGACCTTAGACACCATCTAGTCCCAATCCCCTGCCCTGGACAGGGACACCTCCCACCACAGCAGGTTGCTCAAGACTTTATCCAACCTGGCTTTGAACACTGCTAGGGCAGTGGGCAAACTGTGCCAGGGTCTCACCACCCTCACGGGGAAGTAAGTCTTCCTAATATCTAACCTAAATTTCCCCTCTTTCCATTTTTCTCCATTACTTCTTGTCCTGTCACTGAAATTCTTAACACAGAGTCCCTCTGCAGCTTCACTGGAGCTCAAGGCTACTATGAGGTCTCCACACAACCTTCTCTTCTCCAGGTTGAACAGCTCCAACTTCCTCAGCCTGTCCTTGCAGGGAGATGCTCCAGTACTCTTATCAACTTCATGGCCTCCTCTGGACTTGTCCCAACAGTTCCATGGCATCATTAATGTTGGAAAAGACCTCTCCTCACCAAGTCCAACCATCAAGGACTGAAAAGATTTCCACCGGGATGGAAAGCATTTAGCAACACCCATGGTGAAATGGGAGAGGTGTTTTCCTGAGGGAAACATTCACATCCCATTTTTACTGGGGCAGCTGCTGAAGAGGCTCTGAGAAGCTTAGAGACCACTCACATCCCCATGTGCCCAGGTAAGGACCCCAAATCCCACCTTAGATCATGCAAGGAACAGGGAAGTCTCACCTCCTCCCCAAAATTGATGATGTCAACATTGACTTTCTCCTTCTTCAGACGCTTTGCCAGTTTCACCAGCTGTAAGGAGGAGACACTGTGGAATTAGTTTAGATTCAGAATCTTATCCAGCCCCAGCTCAGCAGAAACCAGACAACAGCTAGGGATAGCAATGAGGGTTCAGTCCAAAATCAGCTTCCCAGTTCCAGGCTCACCCAGTGGGAACAGGTTGGAGGTGTTTCACCTCCTGAGGTAGGTTAGGACGCACCACACAATGCCTGAGGTGGCACAAGTGAGGGAGATGTACTTGCCAAAGCCACTGTCCCCATGGACGGGGACAGCAGGAGCCTGTGACAAGTCACATTTCTGACCTGTTCTTTCAGGGAGACCTGGAACAACAGGATTAATTCCACTTGTGTTATTTTAAATGTCAACAGAAGAGCACTTTTAAAGGCTGAGAGCGTAATTTCTCAGGGACACCAATTTCATCTCCCAAGATCCTCAGGCAAAAAAAAGCCCAGACTAGTTTAGGTGACAGCTTGGAGGCAAAGGACACGGTACAAGCACCCTCCGGGAAACCTGGATCTGTCCTGGGATCCATCCTGGCTGTGCCTATGGATCCAGCCTCTCCTCTCCTCCCAGATGAGAGCCAAGCAGCCTCCTGTCTGATCTATAAAACTTTACTCTGTGTAAAGATACTGTAAAGCTTGATAATAAAGCTGTAGTATAAAGCTTTACTTTTGACACAGGGACAAATGAATCTCCCCATTTAGGGTTCCAGGCAGAGCACAGAGCCAACACAACAGGCTTTCCTTCCCCTGGTGATCACTCACATCCTTCTCATTGTCCTCGACGGGGCTCCCAACGAAGGCAATGATCCGCATCTTGTGGTTCTTGCCTTGGCGATGTTTCAAGGCCAACTGTGAGACAAAAAACATCTTGTACTTGAGGAGAAATTCCCAGGAAAAAGGGGCAGCCAGTTGTCACCCCTGATACTTTGCTCTCCTCAGGGTGTGAAGGGCTGTGCAAGACTTCTGTGAAGGAACAACTGGGCTCCTCCAGAGCTCCAGGGACCAGACTGTAAAATTCCTGAGCTTTATACTGAATTTTATAAAGGAGTTTTCACCTGCATTTTAGACAGCAAAAAAAAGGCAAAACTAAAAGGACTGGCTCTGTGTTGTTCAGTCGTAGAGGCAGGGAAAGATTTCCCGCATCTGAGCCATCATGGAATTATTAAGGTTGGAAAAGACCTCTAAGATCACCAAGTCCAAGCATTAACAAAGCAGGTGATTTAGGAGAGACACTAATTCCAGAGGGAGGTGCAGAGAGGATCCAACAGCACTTACATGAGCAACTCTGATCCCTGTGCAAAAGGTGATTTTCCCTTTGGGCTGCACTGTGTGGAGCTTGGAAAGGATCCGTCCTGTGTCCGGAGTGAGCGTTGTCAACACCTCACAGTTACTGCAGCACAAACACCAACGTTAGAGACCTCTTCATGGGGAACTTTGTGAAACCCTTCATTTGGGAGAAAAGCTCCCCCTGCACTAAGCCTGCAGCTGGTGCATGGTCCAAGGCTCCAGCACCTGATTCAGTGGTTCCATGTGTGCAGGGAGCAAGACTTTTGAGTCTCATTTCCTAAAACCCCCAAAATAATCTGTGTGAAGGCTTGTATGTCTGTCCCAGTAAGCCTGGGCCCACTGGCCGATTTCACCAGCTCCAGGTAAGAGGGAGTTCACAGAAGCACTGAACTCCAGGTGATTTCAGGGAAACAGTGAACCACTTTCTTGGGGTCACCTGTAAGCTGCAGTGGCACCCTTATCTGTCACCCTTTGGGATACAAGGCCAACAAAGGAGGGGCCAGGCAGGGACCTCCCAAGAGAGAAAATCCTCCTTAACACATCCAGGCAGGAGCCCAACAAGCCACAGACCAGCCAGGAACAAGGAATTCTCATAAACACAGAACCACTGTTTTAGGTTTAGACTGTGCTATTGCTGCCCCATTTCGCAACAGCTCTCTGCCCTCATCCGTGTGCCTTCACGGGTTCCCTCAGCCCTTCCCTGGTGTCACCATCTGCCTGTCAGGAGCAGTGATGCCCCAAAATCCCCCCGTACTTGGCCAAGGTGATGAGCCCCACGTTGTTCTCGGGGTTGCTGCGTGTCTTGGAGTGGCACACGATGTTCACAGCGTCCTGCTGCGCCTGCAGGCGGGTGGGTAGGAAGTCTCCGTTCCTCATATACTCACTGTTGTCAACACTGGGGCACAGGAGGGGGAACAGGTGAGCTTTATCCCCAAGAACATGCTCTTTGGGCAGAGCACAGCTAAGACCACCCAGCTGAGGACATGCAGCAGGACATGGAGGTTTCCCAGGGCAGAGAGATGAGTCATTTTTGTGTTTCCCTGAGTTTTCCATCAGATCTGCCCTTTGGGTAATGGGATAAACACCAGTCTGGAGCCAGAAGCTCCAGCTCCCCCTTAAGGACACAAGAGGTGACTATGGCCAGACACAGCCTCAGACACATTTCCTTGGTGCCCTCTTCCATCTCCATGATAAAAAATGTGCCAGGAGACACCACTCCACGGTAAAGTACAAACAGCAGCTTTCCCAGGGTGAGAATCACGGAGTCATTGAATGGTTTGGGTGGAAAGGGATTTTAAAGACCTTCCAGTTCTGACCCCTGCCATGGACAGGGACACCTTTCACCAGACCAGGCTGCTCCAAGCCCCATCCAACGTGGCCTAGAACATTTCCAGGAACAGGACAGCAGCTACAGTTTCTCTGGGCCAGTGCCTCACCACCTCTGGGGACATCAATGAGCAGAATTCGTGAGCCCCCACAGCCCTAATTTCACACCCACAGCAGGTGCTAGGGCCTCCCCAACACCCCCTGCAGAGAGTAACTTGAAACAAACACCGAGGGATTTGATATAGTATCAGCAGATCAGGCCACAGTGACATCTGTCCCCAGCAGCTGCAGAAGCACGTGGAGAGCCAGTGGAACCCCAGAGTGGGACAGAGCTCCCTGGTTCCATCTTAAACCCCAAACCAGCAGGACTGTGGCTTTTGTGACAATGACACATCAAGTTCACCTCCACTTCCAGCTCAGGCACCCAGGGACAAACCCTCTCACAGGAGGTAAGTGACCCAACACACCCTGAGGTGACAGGTAAGGACTGATCCCCCTCAGGACCCAGGGGCATCCCTTGGGCTGCACCTCCCAGTGACCCCAGTTTGGTGACGTCACCGCCTCATTGCAGCCCCATCCCCTCCACCGAAGGGCTCCCCCTGCCCCACACCTTGGTAGCCTTCACCTGCCCATGAACACCTCCAGGAGTCCCTTCAGCTTCTCCTGGCTCCTGACCCGGCTCCACTCAGCCAGGAGCTTCCCCTCCAACACACTCCTCACCCCAGCCTATCCCACAGGGAATGAGGTACACCCCTCCCTTCCCATCCCATAAATAATGGGTGCTTCCCTCCATCCCCATTCCATAGGGCAGGGGGAACACCGCCCTCCCTCCTCACCCCATCCTCACTTCGTCCAACCTCTCCCTCAAACACCCAAAATTTTGACCCCCCAACTTAAACCCCTCCTCTCCGCCTTTGCCC